TGAATTAGGGGTGAGATGTTGTCTTTAAGGACGCTGCCAGTTTAATTAAGATATGGAAAATTACTTATTGTTCTTCTCCACTAAAGTGCTAGGAATTAACAGGCAGATGTGTGCCTGGGCCTTTCAGATCTCTGCCATGTGTGTTTGTTTAATACCCGTTAGACTCCGCCATTAAGCCGCAGGCACCGGCGGCACGCGCTCTGCAGGGCGTCCCTGGCTCTCGACCCTTGCCGGTCCGTCCTGGATGGAGCTGATGCAAACTTAGTGAGCCACCAGTGTGCCCTCCTCTGTGCCCACCTTGCCCAGCTCGCCCCGCGGGCCGGGAACCTGCGTGTGTAGCCAGGGGAGGGAACAGTGCAGTAGTTCTTGGGAGAAGTAACCGTGTTTGCTTTTCCTTTAGGAAGTATTACTTAAGAGAGCAGCGGACCTCGTGGAAGCCTTATATGGAATGCCTCATAACAACCAGGTAGGTGACAATGTGGCCCCCACGCCACACTGCCTGTGAGCGGCCACAGCCCTGGGCATCAGGTGGCATGGCTCCATGCCTGTGGGCACAGCCACACGCTCTCCACACCGGCTGGGGAGAGGCCCATGCAGAAAAGCCTTGCCCCTGTTGTGCCCTCCCCCTAAGTGTTTGGGAGAAAATGGCAGGTCAGCACCAGGAAATCAAGACGGGAGCAGCTGGCACAGGGAACAGCATAACCTTAAGGTGGTCCACATCAGGCAGGGATGGGGAGAGACACGGGCCAGGCTCGAGAACCCTGGCTGGGGCTCAGGGAGGGGAGGCAGCACCTCTGGACTCTCACGCATCCAGGCCTGGGGTTCTGAGAGCAGAGGAGAGAGGGGGGCTTCCCTCAAGACCTGGAACCAGCTCTCTAGCTCTGAGCCCTTCTCTTCCATACTGCCCTGACGCCAGGCATTATCAGGGCCAGACTCTTGGGCTATAGGGCCTGGATGGAATCAATCAGATGCTGCCCATCCTAGAAGCATCTTCAGCTCGCTTTCCAAAGGAAGGCTCTTCCCCATTAAAAGAGAAAGTGTGCTCCAAGGACGTCACATGCAATGCCAGTGCCACTGTCCCAGGGAGTTAAGCTGGGTGGAGGCACCCTGGTTACACGGTGGTTAAACCATTAGGCTGCCAACTAAATGGTTGCAAGTTAGAACCCACCGGCTGCTGCTTGGGAGAAAGGTGAGGCAGTCTTGGAAACCCTATGGGGGTAGTCCTACTCTGTTCTCTCGGGGCGCTGTGAGTTGGAATCCACTTGATGGCAGTGGGCTCATTTGGGCTTTACTTCCATAGAGGTGGCAGCTTTGGGAACCCTATGGGGCAGTCCGACTCTGTCCTGCAGGATCACAATGAGCCAGAATCGTCGCGACGCAGTGTGCACTGGGCAGGGGGAGCGAGCCGGGCTCCTGGAGCTGTGCTCCATGTCCGGCATCTGGGCACCCAGGGACGGCGGCCAGCTGAGCCCGGCCTCCTGTGACCTGGTGTCCCGCTCCCGCTCCAGGAGATCATCCTCAAGCGAGCAGCTGACATCGCGGAAGCCTTGTACAGCGTCCCCCGCAACCACAACCAGATCCCCACCCTGGGCAACACGCCCGCGCACACCGGCATGATGGGCGTGAACTCCTTCAGCAGCCAGCTAGCAGTCAATGTCTCCGAGACATCGCAAGCCAACGACCAAGGTAGGCGGCACCACAGGCGGACCGTCCCCTTTGGTAGACTGCTCTACGCGCTGCGTGGCGCCTTAGCTGAAGTGGTACTGGGACAAGGGCGGCCTGGGGCTGGCGGCGCGTCCCTCCTCCTGGCTTTGCTCATCTCAGGGAGGCCCTCACTGGCGCCTCCGAGTGGGTGTTGGGCAGAGAGCCCAGCAGCTCACCATGGCAGGGGCATCAGCAGCTGCTCCATTTACCAATTTCCCCTAATTTTTCTACAGGTGACTTTGGTTTCCTTGCAAGGCTGGGATGGGCTGTAGGCTAGTGTGAGGTGGGAAGTCTCTCAGGATATTACCTGGGGGAGCTTTGGGGGTCTAAGTCTGGAAGGAATAAATGGAGCAGAGCCCCCTGCAGCGTGCATCCCCACCTGCCCCTCACCCCATGGCACAGTGCCAGGCCTGCCAATGGTCCCTGTACCTCGTCTCTTGTGTCGGTCTGCGCGGTCCACTCTAGTTTCCCTCTTTGCCAACCATGCAGGCAGTAAACCTCCGAGAGCACCCCAACTGTCGGGCATTGTCGCTTCCATTCACCCCACACTCATGACAGCAATGCAGCCCCTCCCCCCACATACAGAAAGAGCAACCGTAAAATGAAGACCAAAAACAGCCTTTCTGGGGCAGCTATGGCCACAGACAAGCTCTTCTTGTCAGCCGTGGCATTTGAAGGCCCGCAGAGGCCGAGAGTTCAGAGTGTGGTGGGGCAGGCCCGGGAGCCGAGTGGTTGGTAATTGCTTCTAAGGAGAATGGTGAGAGCAGCTGGCGGTTAGATCGAAGCGCACTCCGGTTGGCTGTCGATGCCGACGCAGTCGGAGGGGGGCTCGCCGTCGAGACAGTGGCGGCAGGTGGTGTGATAAGGTTATCTCGCCGGCTAGAGGTGCCAGGCTGGAGCTACACGTGAGGGCGATTAAATATGTTTAATGTGTGATGTAGATTCGCGGGGAAACCCGCCCCCCCCAGTGTCTGTCGCTGATAATAACGTTATTTTTGGCCGGGGGGGATTTCAACAGTCGGCTACAGTCGCAATACAAGCAGCGTGTCCCCGCGAGGATACGTCCCCAGCAGTACTCCCCAGCAGTCCAATTACAACACAGTCAGCACTAGCATGAACGGATATGGAAGTGGCGGCATGGCCAGTCTAGGGGTCCCTGGCTCGCCTGGATTTCTTAATGGCTCCTCTGCTAACTCGCCCTACGGCAGTAAGTGTCTGTTTCTGTCACGCGTCATCACGCAGATTCATATTCACGACAAAGTCAAGTGTGTGCGTTGCTTGGATGTCCTGTGATATCAGCTACTGGATAAAGGAGGGTGACTCTGGAGGCGGGGCGTCCTGACGACGCCATACAATTGGCCTGGCGTGGCCCCCATGTGGCCACACCGAAAACAAACCCCAAATCCGAAACCCGATTGGGCTGCTCAATTGGAAACGAAGGTCCGGCACCAGAGCGTCTGCCCGTTATCCAGAGAGTGGCCCAGCCAGGGACGGGTCGTGTTTGTCGTGTGCCCCCTCTCGGCGGTGCGGGCGGGCGCCGCGTGTCCTGACCGTGTTTGCTTTGTTGCAGTAGTGCCGTCCAGCCCCACCATGGCAGCCTCTTCGGTCACCCTCCCTTCAAACTGTAGCGGTGCCCACGGCATTTTCTCATTCTCACCTGCCAATGTAATCTCCGCAGTGAAACAAAAGAGCGCCTTCGCGCCCGTGGTCCGGCCCCAAGCCTCTCCTCCTCCTTCCTGCACCAGCGCCAATGGAAACGGACTCCAAGGTGAGGCCTGGAGCCCCGGGCGGTCCCCCGGGGTCCCCCTTGACCTCGTGCTGCTGCATGCCCCTCCGTCACACAGGCTGGGACACCTCGCTGGGCACCACACCCATCCTCGGCCCACAAGCAGCAGGCACTGCCTCCTGGTTTCTACTTGGCACATGGGAATGGTTTCCTCATTCTCCCGCAGTAACTGTTGTGTCTTCATGGGAGAGCATCCTTGTCCTGAGGGACGGGCCCGCAGGTTGCAGAGTGCGGGGTATAGTCCCACTCAGCTGAGGGGCCTCCATGGAATGTGGTGCTCCCCCAGGAGAGGGGGAGCCTGTGCTGGTAGCCCCTAGGAAGGCAGGCTCCATTCATCAGGCAGTGCACAGGGCCTCAGACGGGGAGGTGGGTCACCAGGCCACAGGGAGCTCCCCCACCCCGAAGCCAAACCTTCACTCCCAGGGAACGAGACCATGTGCTAGAGCACAGTGCCCCTTCTTAGCAGTTGAAGACCATGGGAGAAGAAAGGCAGGTCCCTGTGGAGGGATGTGTGCTGGGTGCCAGGTGTGTACTGGTGCTGGGCGGTGGTCCTGGCCAAGGACGAGGCTGGTTTTCCCAAGTGAACTTGCCCATGGCTCCAAAGGAGGCAGAGGGCTGGCCCAGGGGAAGTGGAAAGCACCCCTTGGGGTGCACCAGTGGAAGGCACCCCATGGAGGGGACCTCTGCGGTGCACACCCTACCCTGCCTGTGCTCCTTGCAGTGAAAATTCCACCCAGCTGGTCGCCATGCAGCTGGCGGCGACTCCTGGCAAGCCCGTGTGTGTCAGAGGAGAGAGAACTGGGGCCACGGGGTTTCTGGGGCTGACTTTTTGGTAGATCCCCAGGCCTGCCTTCCGAGGCATGTCTGGGTGGACTCGAACCTGCAGCCTTTGGATCAGCTGCTGGGCGCATGCACTGTGCGCACCATCTGGGGCTCCCCAAATCCAACCCTGCTACTCTGACAGCATGACTGCATGCCACCAGTCCTCACTGAGCACCGGCCGGGCGCTGAGGGTGCAGTTGTGCAGGGGACGAACAGGCCCTTTGGTGGAGTCGGTAGCTGGCTCCACTTCGATGAACTAATGCTCAGCAAAGGACCTGGGGAGGTACTGATGATGACAGCCACTGTCTTCACCACACCTGCGAGTGTGTGAGGAGACGGCCAGGCCCCAGGGCCACTGGGTAGCAGTCACCCGGCCAGCATCCTTAGAGGCAGAGTGTGCCACCACATGGCTCCGTGTGCGGCCAGTCCTGTGTTGAGGCCGCTCCATAAGCCATGTGTATGTACACAGGCCTTCCAAACCATAAAGTTGTAACGGTGAGTCTGAGATAAATTAATATTGTTGAGATTAATGAGCTGAGAAATTGAAGCGCACATCACTACATGAACAAAGTTATTAATATGTTATCCATAAATTAATGAGACCAATCATTCCGACAAAAATTAAACAACACTAAAGTGTAAAGACTCTAATTCCATTCCTACCAGGAGTTCTCTTGGACGCGCCTCAGCACTCAGCGTTTTAGTGCAAACTTTTTGCTTCTGGTCTCAAAGCAGAAAAACAAAGAGCTAGTGCTGAGAGAGCACGCTGTGCATCTGCCGGGCCGTCGCACCGGAGGGCCCAGAGCAGGTGGCCACGTGCACCTTTGGTCTCCAGAGCTGTGGCTCAGACCAGGAGCCGTGGGCAGAGCCATGAGCACAGGAGAGGCCTGAGTGGGCAGGAGGAAACTGAGGCAGGGCCAGTTTTCATGTCAGGGGCAAGGTCAGGCCGGGATCCCACCGGGTGTGTGAGCCAGCCTTGGCTGGTGTCACACAAGTGGCCAGCCAGGTTGGTTCTCATCTGTCGACAGAAGTGGCCCCGGGAGACCGTTTGCTGTCAGTGAGATGCAGAGGCGCGTGGGAAGCAGAGAGGCTCCCGCGCAGACGTGCCAGCAGCCTTCCCCTTTCCCAGATGGAAGGACTGGGTGATTTTAGATACCATGCCACCTCCTTCTGGGAAGGAGGTTGTCATCACGTGTCACCCACACACAGGGTGGTTAAGGAGCCACGTGCACATCCTAGCCCACTGTTGAGTGCGACCCCAAGTGAGGGCTTTGCCCGACCTGCGTTGAAGTAGGTACGGCGCTGGGCTCCCCACACTAACCTCCCTGTCCTCCTCTCTTTCAGCAATGTCTGGGCTGGTAGTCCCACCGATGTAAGGCCACTTTTGTTACCTGCCATAGCACCAAGCATCCAAGGACGGGCTTCAGGGGACACGTTTCGTATATTAAGACATGGTGACAGAGACGGTATCTTCAGAACAAAGCAGCGGCAGTTGAGATGCTACAAAAGACTGTTTAAAGATTTTATTTAAACTGTTACCGATCAGCCTGCACACCACCTACTTCTTCACGAACAATTCCATTTTACTGACTGAACTTTTGTCCTATTTTCACATTTCTCAGTCCTGAAGAATAATCCGGAAAGCAAAGCGAGGCCTATTTTGTACAAAGTTCCTGACTCCGTCTTGGCCATGTCTAGTACTTGCTATGTGTTGGGAGAACTTCGTGCGTGCGTCATCTTCATCCTCATGAACACTGCTGAACAAGCCCCCGGCATTTTTCTGTACTCATACTTAGATTCACAATGGTTGTGTATCTCTATAATGTGAAATATTTTTTTGTGGTGAAAAAAAGGGGGCCAAGGAGGTTATGATCCATCCGACTGGACAAAAAGGATGACTATGATTAGGAGATTCTGGGGTGGCAGGGGGGGAGGGAGGGCTTATCATTGCGTAACTTCATCTTAATGAAATGAGACTTTGTAACTTATTGTAGTTAGAAATTGTAACTTTGATATTGAATTCTCTTGCCTTCAACAAGCACACTGACAGAAAAAATGCTACTGTCTGTTGGTTAAAACCTTCTCCCACTGCTAGAGCTTCCTGTTAAGCAAATGTGATCTGCAACATTTTTTCAACTTTTGCTAGCACTGTATACTATTGCATTCTTAGGCTACTGTGAGGTCCTTGTTTCTTGTACCAGAAAATTGTCCTTTTGACTTCTAGATCCTCCTTCCCTAATGTGTTTTGTATGTGGTTATAAAATTGTAGACTTTTGTGATTTTGCCAAAGTTGTAGCTAAATATTTATACACTTGTCTTGAATTTTTTTCAGAATCCACTTAAATATTTAGAAGAACAGGTTTTATTCCTTATGTGTCTTATAAGGAATAAAACCGCCTCCACGACTTTCCCATGAACACCCGCAGTTGCTGAGGAACTTTATTTTGTAACATATCGATTATAAATATTGTATTTATCTTTGAGGTTTTGTACATTGCTCCCCCGTTTCTTTCTCGTCTGTACCGTGTTTGCTCATAGCCTGGTGTTGTGCTGCCGAGAAGGGCATTCAGCCGAGAGCTGTCTCTTCTCTCCGTTTTGTTCAAATGGACCTGTCCTTACGTTTCATTTGTACTTCAGACGTTTGTTATTGTTTAGACTTTCCATCCTTTCATTTTTTTGTTTTTTATTTTGAGGAAAAGTCAAATTCATTGTTTATTTTTATATGATTTTTTTTAAGTTATCTGAACAAATAATTTTTTTGAAAAAAAAAAAAGTGTGTTGTATAGTCAAAACAAAACGGTGCATCCAGTGGTGGGCAGCCCCAGTAGACCCCCTGCATGTGGAAGAGCCGCGAGGAGGCAACACCCTCGGGGGCTGTGTCCTTATTTTATTTTATTTTATTTTTGTAGAATGTAAAAAGTCATTTTAGCTGCCACCCATGACTTTGCCACATAGCTGAACTGTGTTTACTGGAAAAATTCAGAGGCCTAAAGTTTAAAATAAAACTTACTCCTGAGGTTTTAATTAAAATGCTTGCCACATTAACTTCTCTGATGCCTTAAAAGTGAACTTCTTTGAAGAACCTTTGTGCTGTTTGATCACAGGCTTACACCACAATTGTTAATCAAGATTTCATTGGGATATGTATGGTGTCCAAAAGCAAACACACAAAAGCACAAATGTACTCTTCTGCAGGTCACTCCTTCCTGGGCCAGTTTCTGCTGCATTCTGCGTCCTGCCGGCACCCGCCAATTTGGAGGGGCTCCCGGGGGCCATGTCGCTGTCGGTTTTCACTTTTTCTTTCAGGCACTACCTTTTCCCAGCCAGACCGACAGCCCCATCTGTACTTTTTAAAGGCAACAACCTCCTTCCTGTGCTGTGCCTGGTGGTGCCAAATCCATGGTGGGGCTGAAAGGGGCCGTTGGGTTTCTGGTTTTCCTTTGCACTAACTGTTTCACAGACACAGCACAGCGAACAGTCTGCGAACTGCAGCAGACCAATCAACTTCAGACAAGAAGGAGGGACATTTAAAACTTCTTAACACAAAATAGGCACAATTTCGGAAAGTGTTCATTCAAGGGACTAAATAAACAAACAACATTCCCAGTGTCAGCAGGTCACGCTCTGTCTGGGTGACGCTGACGAGGCTTAGCTACGTGGAAAAGCCTGAGAAGTCACTTTGGAACTAAATTGCCTCCGTTTCATTTTGTATAAGTAAGGGTTTTGATCTTAAAAAAAAAAAAAAAAAGCAAAAAAAAAAAAAAGCACTCATGTGTAGGTGTTACCGAATGTTTGCAAATTTCTTCATCCCTGCACTTGGTTTGTGTTTGAGATTAGTCGATGCCCTCATTGCTTCATTGTCTCTGAACAGGACACTTCACTAAATGGTAGGTTTTACTGTTAAAAGACCCTACAATAAGATTGTTTTACCTGTACATTTTTTCAGATATTTAACTGTATAAAAATGTTCATTTTACACAATATTTAATTAAAGTATTTCTTGTCTGTGAATTTCACTTTCAGTACTTTTATGTTTTGATTATTAAAATGTCTGATGAAATACACACACCAAAGTTACACCGGGGGTTTCCTTTGTCCATCACGGATTCCAGAGCTGTGTCTTGGCCAAGATCAAGTGATTCCTAGAGTAGCCGTCCACAAAGTTACCAATCCCACTCACTCACCCCCTGCCTGAGAAACCAGTGGCCGTTCTGTCCGTGGGTCCCGCCTGCACCCTCTGTACATATGTTGTACTCACACCTCTGTGTCAACCCACGATGCTCAGCCGCTCTGGTGGGGCGCGGTGGGGAGGCACAATCACCATTTGACCACTGGTCTCTAGGGACGCAGAACAATCCAGGGACTCACTGGGGGATGGTAAGCAGTTGCCCTCCCCTGACTCCCCAGCTCAGCCTCTCTCTCTCTGGGTTGAAGGGTTCAGCAGGTCCAGAGTAACTGCTCCAGCCATTGCAGACACCCTCTCCTTCTCTCCCAATCACTGTGTTCTGATCAGGCAGAGACCAGCCTTAGGAAATTGCATCAGCAAAGGCTCCGGAAAAGCAGGCAGACACCGCGGCACCCAGAGACCGGTGCCAGCCGAGGTCTGGCGTGAGGCGTGCCATCACCAACTGCAGGCTAACCGATAGCACAGCAGGCCCCCCCGGGTGCCACCCCCATTGGCTGTACATAACGTGCAGCCCAACGCATGTAACAAGATCTGCCACGATCCTGAGGTTCCAATTTACATACCGGATGTTCAGCTCTGCGAGTTCGCGGGGCCCACCCCCCTCCCTCTCACTGGGTGTTTCTCATTTTCTCCTCAATGAGAGGCTGGATTTGCATGTTTTGGCTTGCAGCTTGATCACACATACACATAAGTGTGATCCAAATTAGTACTCACCAATGTCATCTTAATTACTTGTTCTGCTGAGCAAAACAGGAAACAATTATTCAAAACATAAAGAAACTTGTGAATACCTTTGTTTCCTGCCAGTGACAATCAGGTTCCTTTGACTGAGTGTGCTTGTAGCAGCCTTAACGAAATAGCAGAGAGGGAGGCTCATGGGCCCAGGCTGCGTCCGCCCACTGCCCTCTCCCCTCCCCCCAGCAGCTCGGGGACGGGAGGGGAGGTGCCGCTGACAGTCCACCTCCCCCCCACCCTGAGTCCCTGCCAGGAAGGCTCAGCCGTGGGGGGTGCAGGCAGGGCGCCTTTCTGGAGCTCCCATGCCAGGGCCCTGCAACTCAGGGAGAAAGAGAAGCATTTTATCTTCGCGTCTCAAATCTGAAGCGAGAGCTGGATTCTCTCAAAACGTATGCCAATTATTGTCAGGCCGTCTTTAAGGTCTCCCAAGCTTTTAAAGATTATTCAAAGCACTCAAACTAGGCTTCAATCTAAGGCCTCATTTCATTGCATTAAACAGGCTGGTTAATAAAGAATCAATATATTCAAAGGACAAGGTTATCTTTTGTCTATAAGGGGTGGTGTCATTCTGCACCTTTATAGTTCAGATGCAGAAAAAGACCTCATGAAATCCATACTCATCAGTGGGTCACTGGGAGCAGCGTGGAGCCCCTGAAAGGGAAGAAAGGCTGCCCTCGTTTACAACAACTCTGCGCCTTATCTCCCCCGCTCCCGGCGCCCAAAGACGCCCTCGGAAAATGTCAATTTCTCATCAAGACAAGAGCCCCGATGATATTTTTTTCCAGGGCATACATACAATTAAGAGAATGCAGAGAGGCCGCTGTGCTGTGATTTGTGGCTTATTCTGGCCCCCGAGCTGCGATCTCCCTCCCAGCAGATAATGAGGGTGGCTGATAACTCAAGTGTCAATAGCGCAAAGAGCGATTTTTGAATGTGAGTCCTTGTGCTCTGAGCCAGCCGGGCCGATCCCAGGCCCTGATAACGACGCATCTGCCAACGACACCCCAGGTTGGACCTCACAATTAACACGATGAATAAATCACACAAAGGGGCCGGGACGCTTTAGACGCCGTGAGACAATCCCCTGTGTTACCCTTCAAGGATTCCTTTTATGTCGGAATAAGGTTGCTTTTAATGAAATTTAAACTCATCAGAGGAAATCAAAAACCTCCAATCAGATTACAAATTGATTTTTTGGTCATTTGTCATCACCCAGTCGAGAGCCGAAAGTTTCACAGGGAGGAGTCATTGCTCTGGTGTTGGGAGGGAGTGGGCACACAGCTGCCACCCACCGGCCCAGGGACGAGGGGTCACTGTGTGAACTGTACACACAGGGCTCCGTCCACCAGTGGAGGTGGCTCTTCACCCCTGTGTGGACTTGGGCAGGGTTCTGGCTCGGGCCCACACTGTCAGGGTCCAGATAGAGTGAACCACGGCCTTGCTGAGCCGCAAACCATGCCATCTCCCACACATGTCCCAGCAGGGCTTCAGCCGCTGACCTTTCAGGAGAACACTGCCAGATCATCCTTGCAAGGTGCCTCGGGGGGGGGGTCTACGAACTCCCCACCTTTCACTTAGCAGCTGAGAGCTAAACCATCTGCACCCCTGGGGACATCTGAGTCCCAGTCATGCTTTCACAGCCTGGGGCATCGTCTTGGGCCAAGGGCCCTAAGGTTGCTGGGTCCGCTCTCTTGGACCCACTGGTGGCCAGCAGAGACATGCTGTCTTGGACTGTATTAGCTGACACTCCCCCAACCCCTGCATCTGCTCGGAGTCCCTCCACAGCTAGTTGACAGGCAGGATGTAAAGCCACCCGGAGCACCCAGTCCCTCCACGCCCAGAGTTCATGGTTTGGGGAGACAGAAAACATGGCCCACATCCCCCGAGACCCTGTGCAAGCCCCAATGTGTGGGCCTCAGCAGAGCCCGCCCTGCCTCCCAGGCAGTCCTGGTGGCCTCTCTCAGCTCCCCCTGGAGTCTTCTCCGGAGCTGTCGGCCTTCGAGCTTCTGGAAAATAGGACAAGGCTGTGCCTGCCTCACCTTCCCACCCCACCTTGGGGCCAGGTCAGAGCTGGATGGGCGAGCGGGAGGAGCAGGTGCTACACTGAGCAGGTAGAGCCGCGTAATCCCAAAAGTAATTCCAGAGGAACAAGCAAGCCGTCCCTGACTCCAGATGCCTCTGAAACCACCCTTTAAGCAAGGCAGGATGAGAATGGAGCAGTCACTGAGTAAAGGGCCCCGAGTTTCTATGAGGGGACCGAGTGGCACAGTGGTTAAGCACTCGGCTGCTAAATGAAAGGTCAGAGGATCAAACCCACTAACTGCTCGATGGGAGAGAGATGAGTCAGTCCACTTCTCTAAAGCCTGGGAAACCTTATGAGGCAGGTCCACTCTGTCTTACAGGGTCACTATGAGGGAAAAGCAACTCGACAGCAAGGGGCGTTTTAAGTTTCTGTTAAGGATGAGGAAATACCTGGAAATGGATGTTGGTGACACTTGCACAGCATGGCAGGTGCAATCAACGGCACTGAACTGTACACACGAGGCTGGTTGGAACAGCACAGGCTTTGTGACAGATACCTCACCAAGCACCCAAATACACACGGCTTCAGCCAGGTACCGTCGATTGGAGCCCTGACTCGCAGCGACCCTACGGACAACAGAATGAAACGTTGCCAGGTCCCGCACCAGACTCGTGATCCTCACATGATATTTACGTATAAAATCCCTCAAGTGGGCAGAATCTCCCCCCACACCTTCAAACAGCTGTAAGTGCGCATCCCACCCGTGTGGCCAGCACCCTGGGGTTCATAGCACACTCTTCAGCCAGCACCTCACCTGGTCTCGTGGAGCTCTGTGATGGGCCCCGCCCTCTCCAGGTGGCAACGCTGTAGGGACAGGTGACAGGGCCAGCTGAGGTCAC